TGCCGTTGGTGAGTACCAAAATTGTCTTGTAAAAGTGGTAGAAATGGGTCTGGGGGTCAGTACAGTCAAGCTCTTGGAACGTATCCCTATTCATTACACTTCAGAGTGGGTTCCCTTTATGTGAATTTGAGTTATGTGCTGTTTTCCAGGAATGCATGTGCAGCGTAAAGTGAGGGAAACCTGTATATTGTTTGCTTCAAATGGGATCTTCCATGGAACAAGACAACTTAGGGTTTTATTCTTTATCTTTTACTGGTGCCCAGGCCCTCCAAAACAGAGGAATACACAACTTGAAATTCTTGAACTAGATACCTGAGAAAGTGACAGATCAGGATAGAGGCTCTAAATCCCATCACTGCAGTAGGTCCTAAAACAAAAATTTCAATTTCCCTGTTGTCAGTTGATCTGAAGAGCATCAATCTGTCCTAAGCGCTGTAATTCGTGCTGCGACCAACCACAGTGTGCTGATGCTATTTTCTAAAATATTGGGACGGTATTATCAACAAAAAGGAGGTGTCAGATCTTCAGTTAGCTAACTTCATCTAATATTAGCTGTTCCTGGATGAAAAAGAAGCAGAGAAAAAAAATAGAAAATAGTTTGTGTATTCTTAAATTCTGCACATTAAGAGGAAATAAAGGTCATGGCAGTTGCTTAAGTAGAAGGATACCAGAAGGTAGAGTCTACAGGCCAGAGTCTTTGAATGCAGAGTTTTGCCTTGGATTGTTTGCTTACCAGTGGACATATTCGCATTCAGGATCCAGGGACGGTCTGAAGACTGTATTCCAGCTAAAGAAATGAATAGGTAGTAGCTACAGTTCATTCCCAGGAGAGCCCATAGAAAATATCTCGTTTAGAAAGTCGTCCTCCTGGTTAAAGCTACTTCAAAAAGTTGTTTTTCTTTCTTTTGTTGTTTTGTTTGACTTCTAAAGATAAAGGTCTAATACAAAGCAATTCTGTATCTCTTACGAGGGTGAAGGTACACTAAGATTTAATATAGTCTTTCATTCTTGTATCATTTACAAGAAATTATTTTATTCCACTTTTGTCCATATGTAAAACGCTTTAAAAAGCTGACAGATTTTGCTGTCAGAAAAGCTATGGAAGTCAACATTGAATATAGGATCCAGTTCATAAAGGCTTTCACTTTTGGTCTATTACACCTATCGTAAAGGAGAAAGAAAGAAGAGGTGAGAAAAAGCACTGTCAAATCCTCAGTTATCTTCAGTTATTTGACGGCTAAATCATTTCATTTCAGAAGCTTTCTAACTTGGAGCTGCCTTTCTCTATGGATATTTTTGTTCCTTGATTCAGAGTAATGGCAGCATCACTTGAAGGAACATATGCCACATACAAAGAAAAATGTAAGATGGCCACCTGGTCGGTCATATTTTTAATTTAAATTTGCAGGCTCCACCAATCCCCATCATGTTAAGAGTGCCTTATACACTATGCTCAATCACGAAGTGGTACACAGTAAAAAAAAAAGATATCTGTTTTCTCATTCTTTTGCCTACCTTCCTGATGTTGCGCTGCTATTGGATGGCCCGTTGCAATGGATCCGCAGATTTTTATGTCACTGTAAACCTTTATTTTTCTGGTCCTATTTAGTGCTTTGTTCTTGACACCTCCCATTGTTTTCAGCACCACATTGAGAAATATGGGGTGGGGGAGGATAGCAAGCATGTATGAAGGGAGAGGGACACAGGTATGATTCCCCAGCAACAGAGTGAGTGAGAAGGTGGAATGAAAATGTGGTTAGTCGTGTTAGTTTAAAGTTGGACAGAAGGCAGGGCAGAGTGGTACCTTAGAGACTGATTCAGACAGGTATGAACTTTTATAAGGCATACGAAAGCCTGTGCCTCTCTCCATGTTGACCCTGTCCTACCTCCTCTTGTGTAAGGTGGCATGTAATTCTCTTTGCAGTGTGTGACAGTCATGCAAGTTCTGCGCGGTAAGTGAGGTACTTGGAGCTACAAAACATAGTCTGCAGTTCACATGAAGGGCCAGGTGGTAACAGCATTCCAGTGACATGTGGATATATATTTTCTGCCTAGAACTGCTGAATCTGATATTCTGGTCCAGTTGTTTTTGGGTGGTAAAGATAATCACTAAGCAGTTGGAATCAAAGCACCTGTGTTTTATTGAAGAGACAACACATAATATTGAATGTGTACTGAAATTCAACCTGGGCTTGGTTTTGAATATAGGATGATCTAAATGCCGAATAAGCACTTTATCCACTAGGCAAGGGGTCGGCAACCTTTAAGAATAGTAGGGAACTGCTTCTAACCCTGGCCGCTGTTGTGGGCCACCGATCCCCTCCACAGCACTGCAGCCTTCCATGCTCTTTGTTGAGGGCTGCTCTTGCACCCGCCTACTGCAGCCTCCACTTCATCTCGCCAGTGAGTTCTGCCAATGCCCATTGCCAGCGGTGATGGAGAGAATCAAATTCAGTGGTGGGGGCAAGCAGTAGCTGTAGCAGAGTGAGAGCAGCCTTCAGCATAGAGCAGGGAGGGCTGGGACAGCAGCCAGCAGCTTGGTGTTGCAAAGGGGATGGCAGAAGAACTCATGGCAGAGGGCAGAGAAGGTGCCACCACTGCCAGGTACCATCACCTCCTACCTCCACTGCAGGCTGGATCCTGTCTCTTCTGTCCTGTGGGCCATAGGTTTATGATCTGTGCATTAGGCTATTTAATTGTCCCAGGAGAGAAGCAATCCATTTTTGTCTTGAACCAGCCAGAAGAAGGGACCTGCTCTTTCCACTTGAATTACAAGTAAAATTATTAATATGTTGGCATTAATATGTGGATTTAGAAAGGAAATATTCTTTCTAATTCATTCTGAAAGCTATTTTTTATGGGAAGTGATGTGGAAATCTGATACAATTTACTGTGTTCTGTTTTTGAACCAAAAATGTGAATGAAGAAAAGATTAAATTTGACTGAAAGCATCTTAATAAGTACTGGTAAATGTTTTTCTTGTCTACTTTTATTCTGTTAATATGAAGGAATATTAATATTCTGCACTTTTAGAACATGATCTGTTGAAGGCTGTTAAACTACTTTTCAGACATTCATGATTTAAGCTTTGTGCTACCCTGTGAGATGGGGAATCATTGTTTGCACAGTTTGCATGTAGAACATTTTTAAATGGCAAGTTTAAGTTCAAAATAGTCAAACTTGCTTGTGATTTAAGTTATGCTTCTACCTTTATTCCCTTATTTTTGCTGTTGGGTAACTTTCTGTTGTAGCCTTTACCAAGGTTTGGTAATTGTGCAATTTTAAGCCAAGCCCCATGGCAGGGGATTTGGCTCTGGGGTGCTTGGTTCATTTTACAATACATTTGCATTCACAGTTAAATGTAGTGTGGAGCCTGTTCAAGGTAAATCCATGACACTGGCATTTATATAGTGGTGATGCTTGGTACTGTACTGGAACATCTTCTTTTGAGTTCAGTCTTGTAAAGAGAATGAGGCAAAATCATAATGCCTCGTGGTGAAGGCTCTTGGTAGACTGGAGTTTACGCTCAGAGCACACTTGACCTAGTAACTGTAGGGTTCTTTTTATTGTTATTATTAATTTGGCCTGCATCATTCCTGAATGTCTCGGCTCCAGGAATTCAATATTTTCACTTTATTTTTGTTATTAGTTATGGAACTGGAATATTTCCAAACGTGTAGGGTTTGGGCCTGTATTGTGTTTCTCTGCGTTTAAAAATGTGTAGTTTGGATTTAGGTTGATTGGGCAATCTGATTAGATTACAGCATTTGTTGTTCCGCCTTCTGCCTGTTTGCCAAAGGCTTTTATTGCATCCTACCCCTTTAGGTTAATTTTTTTAAATTAAAATCCATTTAATTACAATTGAGCTTTGTGTGAATGGCAAAAAATACATAATTTAGCGATTTTTGAATGAAACACAAATGTGTTGGAAAATGGGAATTGAATCAGTGAGGCTTTCAGAATAAAAGAGGCAGTTTCAATAGTGTTTATTGTACTGTAGATTTGTCCATGAGAAACCAGACTGAGACCTGCTAAACTCATTTCACATAGGCCATTGCTGAGGGCTTTTATTCACTGCCTAACTGTTCTGATTTTGGTCTATGACACCCTAATATAAGGGAGACTTGATGTTTTATAATTTTCTGTGAAACTTACATTTTCAACCCAGACTCCATAGCACACATCAGACAGTACCTCATTGAAGAACTTCTGCTTACAGAGTTGGATAACTCTGTTGGGTTCAGTATAGCATGAATTACCTTTTTAATCAGACGGAGGGTAAAATTAAATCTTTTTCAAAACATTTCATTAGTCATTAAAAACTCAAAACTTCCAAAGTCCAATGACTTGAATGGAGAGTACTGTGAATAGAGCAGACAGCGGGGGGTAGAATATAATTACATTTGTTTTCATTCATTAAGAAGGACCGTGCATACTTCTCTCAGTTTTCCACTTCATTTGATCACTCATAATTGTGTGATCCTCTCCAATTTGTGAAGGTAAATGAGTTATTTCCCCCTTTCATGCTGTGTCCCTGCCTTTTCTTTTCTACACATTACATATTTCCAGAATATGTGAATGTTCTCTTTATTAGCTCTTAGAAAAAAAAGAGTATTGTCACTGCTATCGGCAAAAGGCTGGGCACAGTTAGTGAGTGGTAGCAGTTCCTACACACTAATTGTGATTGGACACTTAACCCCCATAAACTCCCTAAAAAACCTAATCATAGGTGCTGGAGGTCTGGCCTTCCAACTGTTGAGTGCCTCTTAGGTCTTGCTTAGCACTCCTTACTGGAGCAAATCTCCATTGACCTCAAAAGGAGGGCAGGCTGGAGAGGACCATGTACGGCAACACCTGTTAAAATTAGTCTGCAAAGTAATAAGTGACGTACAGAGGGATCCTCCAGAAATAAACTGTGAACTAGAACATGAGGGTGCCCTGATGCAAAGCAGAAGAAAAGTATTAACACAAAGCATTCATTTTCATTTTCTCCCCTCCTAGGATCTTAGCTCATTTGCCATGCCCTTCCTGGATGGAGACGTGGAGAGCTCGGATAAGAATGCTTCCCGGAAGGTAGGACCATTTTGAAGGCTTTGCCCTCAGTGTGTTTGCTCAGAGTTGGTGTCATAGAAGCAGATTTTTCTTAGGTTTGCAGAAGGCTAGTTTCCTGGGCATAGACTCTTTCCTCCGCCACCCCTAGCTTCAGGGAGCTACACTAGGCTTAATTATAACCACTATTGGGTTCCTCTGCACAAGTGCTGTGCTAATGTGATATTTCTTTTGACGAAAGAAAAATAGGCCATCCTACAGTAGTGTCATTATATCGTAAATGTTATGTGCCGCGCTGGGGGAATGATCAGAGAGCTGGGGAATCCAGCCGGGAGCTCTGGGTGACAGGTGGAGCTGCCCCAGCTCCCAGAAAGTGCGCGGTGCCCTGCCGAGCCACACTGCACCTATGCCATGGGGCAGCTGGCATCCAGGTGTCAGGCAGGGGCATGGGCGATCCCCACTGCCTTACACTGTGTGTGGGGGGGCTCTGCCATGAGCACACAGAGGCCCCAAAAACCACTCCTGCATCCAGTGAGTGCGGGGCTTTTTAAGTATTTAAAAACCCTGGGAGGCTGGGGCTGGGCAGGGGATGGGGCCAGGCAGTGCAGCCATGGGGGCTTCTCCCGCGGCTCCCCCGGGGCTGGGCCTGCCTCTGCCCCTGTGGGGAGAGCCATGGAGGCTCTGCCCTGCTACTGCTTGCCCAGCTGGCACGGGGTGTGGGGGGGGAGGGAGTGCAGTGCAGGTATGGCTCACTCTCGGTGGCAGCAGGGCAGAGCCCCTGCTCCCAGCACTGCCACTCCTGCTTCAGCACTTGGAGTGGGGGCTCTGCTCTGTTGCCCCTTGTGGTGTGGGGGCACAGGATGTGGGTGCGGCAGCACTGGGAGTGGGGGCTTTGCTGTGTTGCCCCTTTCCATTAGAGCAAGCCCCAACCCTGGCTGGGCAGCTTGTCCCATGCCCAGTCCCTCCCTCCCCCACATCCCTTCCCCCCCCACCTGGCCAACCCCAACAGACTTACCAGCTGGAGGCAGCTGTCAGCTGCTTGTTTAGTCTATGGCTGAGTCTCTGAATTGGTCAGATCTTTTTCTGAAGGTTTTCCGAATTGATTCAGATGCTTCGAATTGATTCGGAGCTTTAACGTGGTCTCCCAATTTGATTCGGATTCGGAGATTGAGTCCCCAAATCAGGTAGAATCTCCCCCGAATCAAATCAGCTATTGAAGCTGCGCACAGCCATAGTAAAAATACCCTTTTAATGCTGAAAAAGTAACTGCACATATTTAGTGGTGACAATGTTGCAATGGTGGTAGGGGCGGATTGGACAGTCTCTACTGCCTGAACGGCCTTGCCCTCATGTGGCTACCCTAATGCTGCCCTCACTCTCAGTCCTTTATATAACCTCCCATTTATCTTGCCTGCCATGCCATGCTGTTCTTTTGGCACTAATTCAGAGGCTAACCTCTGAACTCCAGAGAACACTTACTAGTGCCTGACCAACCTAACAGATCCACTAGCCAAAATGACTCAGTTCCCCACAAGTGCCTCTTGCACCCTGGCAGGCTTACTACTGCCTGCCTGGCACTGAGCCAGCGGTCACCACTCATCACCTGACTGGCCCTTATTTAAATCTTAGCACTCTTAATCATGGCCTCCAGTCTTCCCCCTTTGCCATGCCTATGCCTTGCGGGTGTTAGTCACATTTTTACCTTCCTATATAGACTTTGGGTTTCTTAGCCTTAGGTTACTCTGGCTGCAGACTGGCAGCCTAGGCCCGTTGTCTCTGGCCTGGCCTTTCAGTCTCAACCTTTTGTCAGCTTCTGGCCACCTTGATTATCCTTGCTGGGTTTGGGCTCTGGCCCTTTTGGTCTCCGGCCACCTCAGTCACCCATGCGGGGCTCGGGCCCTGGCTTCTCAGCCTCCTGCCACCTCGGTCTCCCCTGCTGGGCTTGGGCTCTGGCCCTCTCAGCCTCAGTTTGCTTCTGTCCCATGCCCCTGCCTCTGGTAGGGCTCAAAACCTAGCATGCCCCTCAGTACCCCTGTGGTCTCCTTTCCACCCCTACAGCCACTATCCAGTACTCTAATCTAAATGAAAACAAAAATGCAAGTAACCACTTTAAGCCCAAACACTCAAAGCGCCCCTCTGGGTCATCGTACCGCTGCCAAGCCACCTCCCTCCACTGGCTGGCTCCGGCCCCCAGCCCCCCTCCCTCCACTGGCTGTCTTAGGCTCGCAGCTCCCATTCCTAGCCAGTCTGAGCTGGCAGGAGCTCCTCTCCCAGCAGAGTTCAGGGCTGCACTGCCCCTCTGCTTCAGGGACTCAGGCTTATATTCCTTCGGCTCTTCCTCTTCTGGTCAGTTGTTCTCCTGAGTGCCTGCAGGTGTGTCCCCTCGGCCTTCTGCTATTCCTCTGGCCAGACTGTAGTAGTGGCCTTGCTGCCTAACCAGGGCTCTGCCCTGTTGTCAGGCAGCTAGCCTCACTTGCAGCTTGTGGGTCCCTGGCTACCTATTCCCTTCCGGTAACCCAGAGTCGGCTGTCTTCCCCCACCTGGGGACATACCTGCTGTGGCTTCTCCCTTAAAGTAACAGGAACCCCTAGCTCCCTGTTACAGTGCCCCGTAGTGATATATTTTTTGAAGTGCTACACATGCGTCTAGAGCCACGGACGCCGAGGGGTGCAGCAGTGCAGTGTTGTGTACAGTCACTAAGTGGAGGTTTGTGACTCTCTCTTTCTGTTCAGAGACGGAGTTAACATGTTCATCTGAAGACAAGTAGAAGGTAGGGGAACAGCTCCCAAACAATTGTCTGTTCTTTGGCCAAAGAAAGTTTGTTTAACTCATTGCTGTCCTTTTGATCTGTTGGTTTCCAGGACTGGTAAAGCAAGCTGTGCAACTTGGCCAAAGCCAGGGAAATAAGGCTTCCCCTTTTAATAGCTCAGGCATCGTCTCAACCCTCCACAGGAGGTTGGAAACCTGGGGGTGTCTTATGGAGAGACATTGCCCTACTTTCCTGCATGTATTTCCAGCAGTTCACTATTAAACTAAACCAGCAACTCCATGTACTCAACATTTACAGCTGCCAGTCAAACATGAAGAGTAGATAGCATTAAAAAACATTGCAGAAAAGTGCCATATTCCTACTGGGGTGCCAGGGTCTTCAGTTGGAGCTCTGAACTCCAGGAGCAGGACTTTGAAGAGCCTGTCACTGGTTCTGAGGTTTGTCACCCTCATGTCATCTAAGTGGGGCTTTTCTGCAAATGCAGCATCTGGGGAGGGAGAAAACTTCACTGGCTGATCTGATGAGAGAAGAACAGTTATCTTAAAATGTGTCATCTTGGCATATAGCTGCAAAGCAGCTCAATTTGAATTATGATCAGTCTCCAGCAGAGTTTATGGGTTTTATGATAAAGTTAGACCTCTTTTTCAGAATGTCTGCTCTAAGAAGTTTAGGGCAAGTCAAGCAATAAGTATTACCCTATTGAAACTAGTCTGTCTTCTAACCTGTTTAATAAATTGGCTTTCTTGACAACACTGGTTTCTGTTACTTTACATTGCACAGCAAAGGATAGTAGTGTTGCTGCTATCTATCAGTAGTTCAGCATCCTAAAAGCACTAGCCTTGCTTTTTTCTGTTGGAGCTTTCTGGATTGTGCTGTAGAGTCTAAGAGGGACAGAAGAAAACTCTTGTAGACACCGAAGGGAGAAAAATACTCAAAGCCACTGAAAGATCTGTTTGATAAATATGCATCATAAAGTGAACATTGGAACAACCTTGGAAGGTATCTCCACCTACCTGTTTCTGGGTAAATGCTGGTTTCTCCATATCCTTTTGTCACCTGAGGAAGGAAAAGCTTTATTGAGGTTCAGTTCTGAAGTAAATACTTGCATCTTTTTCACATAACACAAGCCCTTCCTCTTCCTCCCCAAATGGCACGCACCTTGTTTGGGAAAGGCAGAATGCAGAAGAAACTCACGGCTGAATTCTGGCCACATGGAGC